AATCGTTACTTGGTTATCGACTTTGCTACGCTTAGCTTTGTTTAGCCGAGCAATTGCTGGTAAGTCGTGATTTTTAATATTTCGTTTTTTTGTTGATGAAAAATACTCTATCACACACCGCCCAATTCAATAAACAATCATATCGCTAGCCTCCAGCATTCGTCGCTTTCCTACTTTGCTTTTGCATTTTGATCACCGTCTCATGAAAGTGCTTTTAATTATTTCTGGCGGGAAATGTGTACCGCGCGTGTTTGTTTGGCGCCCAGATCAGTGACATCAATAATCACGAAAGAAAAAAGGAAGAGACAGGTAAGAAAACTTAATAATTATATCAGTAACATTTGATGTTAAAAATTATTATTCTGGATTATTCTATTCTAGGTCAACACTCGAGAGAGTCAGCTCTTTTCTCAAAAAAATTTTGCAGACAATTAACCTCGCTGGGTCATGCTGGGTCTCCTTGTTTCCTGAGCTTTTGTTATCTGCGTTGCATAGTGTTAACCTATATAGTATCCTGGGCAGCGTATGCCTGAAAACTACAGTTAACTTGCAAAACTACATTAATCAATCCTGCAGTATGACTAAAAACTGCTTAACTTGCAAAAATACTCTAACCAATGCAGTAGTATCCTGGGTAATGTATACCTGAAATCTACGGCTAACTCGTAAAAATGCTCTAATCAGTGCAGTAGTATCCCGGCTAATGCATACCTAATACATAACATTGACTTATTTGACTTATGGAGGTAATAATCTTATTCAACTCTTACTCTTTTTTACCACAATTAACAGCTTTCTCTCATTCCATCTTATTTTTTCAGCACCCGCTCGAAATTGATTTTGGCACGAGTGTTGCCTTAAACAAAGCGGAGTAAAAGAGCAGTAAAAGAACAGTTATTATAGTATTTTGTGTTAGCGATCTAGGAGCCTCTAAATTTGGCGCGCAGCGCTGCGCGGGGAGCTCCGCTATTACCTCTAAGATTATTTTATTATTTAACTTATCCACAATATAATGTGATAAAGCTTCTCAAACCTCTTATCTGTTCTCTGACGGCAAGAGAAATCCACCACATGTGAAGAAAAAGAAATAACAGCATGATTTTTCTAAAAGCCATCTAGATAGGTTCTTAGGAAAAGAAACCCAGTGACTGATGAAATCCTGGCGTTTTCAGTCTTTATTATGCACCTAAAACATTGTTTTCAGTCCCGAATGAAAACCAATAATGTTTAATTAAATGCAATTGAGAAATACACGGCAGCTGATGCAAACTGTACGGAAGTAGGTGAAGGATAAAATGAATAGTGCATAATGGTAATACCTCCCAATGAAAGCCAGAGAGACTAAAATGGCTTAAATATTTGAAGTCAATTACCCTTAGGTTCATGGTCTAATCATGTCTTTTAGAATAGAAATGTTAAGCACAATGAAATGGTTCCCTCATGTAGGAAACATTCATGATACTAGGGACCTTCGAGCGCTGATTGCGTTTGCACATTTTTATCTTGCCAGTAATTTTTGCCGCAACGTTTAATACGCCCTGTCAGGTATAGAGTATGTACGCTAAGAAAATGTCATGAATGATAAATGGCTGAACAACTCTTTCAACTAAAGCAAAAAAAAACAACAACAACAACAAGGGAACTCAGTGGTGGATCTAGGGAAGGGTCCCGAAGAACCTGCCTGAACTGAGGCTAGCAGGGTCTAGCCCCTCTTACCTGAGCGCCACCTCTTTATTACATGGCCTGGATCCGCCAGTGATCCATGCTATATGTGAAAAGTGTTAATTAACATAAAACATGGGAATTACTTCTTTTTCAGTTATAAACCTGTTTCCTGCTAAGTTTGGTAAATTTGACGATTTTATATGGAAAAAGGCTAATTTAAAACAATGTGATAACTTTCCCAGAGTAGTAGGTAAATAGCAAACTTGGCAGTGGATTTTTCCGAAACATGTTTGTCAGGATTGGCCAATATTTTCAAAAGGAGGTATCGGTGGAAATACTGACATTGACATTTGCATTGCTGCTTACCATTTTTAAAAACTCTTAAAAACTGAAAGATTTATGAGTCCAGGAAGGAAAATATGCATCATTCCAGAGTATAAAGGTCCTTGCAAGACGCGTCATCGAATTCGTATTCAGAACTGGACAATTTCTCTATTGAATATTTATTAGTTTTTGAAGACATGCTAATATCTACATTGACTCCTTTATGTCATGCGACATTTTTATTTTTTTTCACCAAAATTCAGAATAGTAGACTAGTACAAGTAGAACTATAATATCTCGAATAAGCCTTTTTTTAAATTTTCCTTTAGATAATAGAGAAATTTAGAGGCATGTTTACAGGAAACGGAAAACGTCACTTTGTATCACGTGACACCACAGTTTTCCTTAAAGGCCAGTTTAATCCACAGGAATTATTTTGGACAATTTTTCTCTGATTATTTTCTAATCTGAGAAACTGTCAACTGTTATATGATTCTAAATCTTTCTAATGGCTCTTTGATTGCAATGGATGTTCTGTGCACTCATTCATTTCAGTTAACAAGTCATAAACCTTTTACTTTTTCATCGGACATACTAACGTTTAAACATAATCTTATATAAACTACACTTTTTTCAGTTTTGTATTTATTGTGCAATTTTTGTTTCCTAACCATAATTTAAGGCCCCATCCACACGCACCCCGATATTTTTGAATCCGCAACTTTTTCTTTCCGGATACGGCTTCCGTCCACACGTATCCGGTGTATCCGGCATTCGAATCCGCAACTTCTTGAATCCGCTCTCCAAAGCAGTAGACATTGTTTAATACGCTGAATCCGAAATCGTGTGTACGCTAAATCTAGATTTTTTTTACCCGATAACGTAAAAAGATCGAGCCCAGTTCTTTACCGTAAATACTGTATTCATACTATTTAAGATGGCAACCCTCATTCCTAGTAAAAGAACCTTGCTTTTCGCATTTTTCTTTGATTTCTGTTCTGATTCTGTCATAATTCGAGCGATAAAATCGAGAATCATGACACAAGGCAGAGCAAGATGCAAATTTCGCCCGCTTTTCGACGTATGTTCTTTTGCCAATATTCCCAGAGGAGTCCTGCGGCCGTACTAGAGTGCATCCGGATACGTGTTGGATACGTGTGGACGGGCCAATTCGATTTGAATATGGACATGGATACGTGTAGACGTGGAAATTTTGAATCAGGAAGAGAGGTTCCGGATTCAAAAATATCCGGACACGTGTGGGCTAGAAGGCGGGGGAGCCATTTCTTCCAACTAGCTTTTTTCATGGTGGTAAACTCGAAGTATGTAATTGTAGCGTAATATATTGTTCAATTATAACTTAACAAAAGGGTTGACTTCCCGACGAATGCGCACAGTGTTAAGATTCTTTCTGTGACATTGTCTAATAATTAAATGGACATCTAGCCGAATTTTTGAAAACATACCTCAAAACGGCCCAGAATATTCGCACAGGAACTTGGCGATAGCCAGGTTTCTGGTCACTGCGGTGAGAATATACATAGGAAGCTTGCTGTCCTGGTTGGTCTCATTCTCAAGCTCAGTACCTGAGCTAACTCGCCATGGGTTGGAAAGGGGCCTCCATGTCAATCCTTAGAGGGGGAGGATGCTGAAAAAGCGTGGTGCTGTCCGTTAGTCTTGCTCTGGGAGAGTCAGTGCACTGGTCATGTCTGCCTTAAGTTTGTCATGTCAAATTATTTTAATGTTTGAGGCCCATTGGCTAATGACAGCATTCCCCTCAAGCACGTGCTAGGCTGTGGGGGAGGGGAGGGGAGGAAGTCAGAGGGGGTGATGTGGCCTTGAATTCTCTGCTTATAACTTGCTAAAGTCTCAAGCATCCTCCTCCGGTGAATTAAGGAATGGGGCACTGCCAATTTGGAGGGGGGTGGTCTGTTTTAGTAGGGATTTTACCTTTCGCATTAATATTTTAAATTCAATATCTACTCCTCATAAGCATTCATTTTTCATTATTACTAATATATTATCTGTGTCACGTGACTTGCCACACCCATTTTTGGCTTTTTATTTCAATCCAAATTTACACCACTTTATAAATAACACTTGTAATTTAATTCACTTTTTGTCAATGACTATTGGCACAAAGTTTATGGAATTAATCGGGGTTTTCTTAAATTATCTACGTTTTGTAAACTATAACGTTTCTTGTTAAGAGGGAGACTGAGACGAGAGAAAATTATCTAATAATTACGAAGGAATGGATCATTCCACAAATCCCCGATTAATTTAGCTTATTTTCCTGTAAATGAAATATTATGGAAGAAAAAACGATTGTTGTCACATTCAGTAAACTGGTGTAATCTGCAAAGTCCAAATTTTGCATAATTATGGGCGTGGCTGGTCACGTGATCTAAAAAAAGGAGTGTTTAAGGTCCAAAGTGGTTCTGGTCTTAAACACAGCGGTTTAAGATTAAAATAAAGGAAGATACTGGAAAAAACAAGATCAAGTCATAAAACCCCGCATGTAACGAAGACCCATTCCTTAATTCACTGGAGTCTGTCATGTAGAGCCCTCAAGCAGCTAGAGTGTATGGTAAGTCGAGAGTTTTTTTTTTTGATGGACTTTGAATGTTTCTCTGCTAATCAGGAACCAAGAAGAAAGCCACCTTAAGAGAACCATGGTATTTACTTTAGTTGAGTCAGTTTAAGGTGTGTTGACTCGGGGAGCCAGCTGGTGCGGTTTTATAAATCCGGCTAGACGTAAACCAAACAATTCAACGGGTGACAGGTTTGATTAATAAATAATGTCTACGAGCAACCAGTTAAATTTAGGGAGATCCGTATTAATTGGATTTCAGACTGGAAAAATTAATTACTCTTTTCATTTTCTTTATTACACGAATCATTTTGTTATGATCATTGTCACCATAAGGCTCTTTATTTCTCATTTCACAATGAAAAACATATCAACCACCATCTTCCCAACCAATTCATCTACGCTCATACCGCAGCGTCCCTCTAAAGTTGAAGGAATAGCCTGGTGCATTGCTTTTACGTTGGAAGCTCTCTTAATTGTTCTAGGAAACTTTCTCACTCTTGTTCTCTTTGCCGTTAACAAGAGGCTTCGCAAAAGAAGTTTGTTTTTGGTCATTAATATGGCTTTTGCCTATTTGCTATCCGGAGCTGTATCTCTCCCCATTCTCATTTACACCATTGGAGCTGGCTTCATGCTTTGGAAAGCACGTTTGGACAAGACGTTTTATGGTTATCAAGTTTTTGGTCAAATCGTTGTCTTACAGGCGCCACTAATTTCTGCGGTATTAATTACTTGTGAAAGATTTCCCGCTGTCTATTGGCCCTTGAGCACCGAATTATGTCAGTGGGGGCGTACCGCGCAGCTATTTTTGTGGTTTGGATACTAGCCATCCTTTTTCCCATTCCTCAGCTCTTAATTTCCAACAAACTTGCTCTTTACACGTTTGTTTCGATCTTGTTGAGTCTATTATTTACAGTATGTATCTGTAACATAGCTATTTGGAGAAGACTTCAACGACGAATTGCATCGCAACAACAAAACCGAGAAGCACAAAATCGACGTCTGACAAGGACCTTGCTTTTAATATCTACTGTCGAGATCTTATCTTGGCTTCCTTTGACTATAAGTAATCTTTTAGTTATTGCTTTTGAGGTCCCCGTCCCTTAAGCAATTTTGTTCACTAGTGTTGCGGGCTCAAGTTTCGATTCATTGAGGTTGCGTGTTTTTCGAAGTCTATCGCTGATAAGTTTTTAGTTTTTAACTGATCGCATGCTCAAGGTATTTCTTTAAACCCACACAGCACAACCCACAGCACATGAAATAATTAAGCTGTGCTTTAAGCCAGCTGCCGGACTTCGGACGCGAAAAGTCAGCCTTTTTTACAGGTAGAGAAGGCAGTTTCTATTAAGTTGTCTCTTGCACCTTAAAACTACAAAAAAACTTTGACTTTGTTTAGCACGGTCACGCGTTGGTCACGCTCTACGTCCCATCCGTCCCATTCTTATCTCAGATTGGTCAAAATTTGACAGGTGAGTTCATGTAAAAATTTATGAAGCATTTGGAAACTTGTTGACTGACAGCTCGATGAAGCTGACAGAGTTTTGTGTCATCTAATTATGTTTTAACCGACTTTTTGCACTGGATCTACAAAATGAAATGCTATCAAGAATCTGTTTTCATTCCCGGTGGCTTGTTTATTGGGTGTTCGGTTGAGAAATGCGCCGCTTGACAAAAAAATAAGTGGAAATTATTGTTTTAAAAACTAAGTTACTCTTCGTACTCTGATTGCACAAGAGGGTTTAAAAGTCTTAAGCGATTCTGGACTCACTTGATCGCTTTCAGGAACTGCATCTCGACTGGTAAGCTTGAGTAATTGTATTGCATTTGATGTTTGTTTTTTTTTTCCGGTTTCATGAAGTCGGGCTTTGTTTGTGCCGTCACTTTACGCACGTTTGTAAGATTTGCGACAATGATCTGACCTAGTACAGAACTTAAAAAGTCTTGAGACATTTTCTGACCACGAATAGAAAGAACACGTTCTGAAGAAAATTTAGTTAATCCCGTTGGTTGTAAAAAGAAAGCTTTGAGGGATATTCTTGCTTTGAGTTCATCTTGAAAAAAATAGCAAACAAGGCGAAGCCGGCTTAAAACTTTAGCTCAAATCTGCAAGGTTTTATTCATGCCTCAGAATTGTCGGAGACAGGTCACTATCAATACAAGTTTCGTAAATAAAAATTGTTGTCCTTATAAATGTTTCATTGAATTATAATTATATTTCTTGTCTTGATTTTTTGTCAAGATCTTTTTCTTATCGCCTTGCCGGTTGTTTTCAGTCGTACCCAAACGCCGCACGCGACAGTAGTGCTCAAAATGCCGGGTTAATGATTATGGTGTTTTAGAAGTAAAATGCAAACGAAAATGTTTCTGAGACCTCTTCCTACTGACATCTTCCTGCTGGGGTTGTTCGAATTTTTTAATAAATATATATTTTCCATTTTGAAGCGTAAATCTATTACCGGGTACTGCTCATTCAAACACACAACAGCCAGCTCGCATTGCAAGTTTGGCGCTTCTCAAAATTCAGAAGTGTTTGGCAGGACGGGTAATTTTTGAAATTGAATTAAAATAATATTTTTTTGAAAGTTTTTGCTCAAAGCCCATTATTACCCTGCACACCACATAATGGCAGTTTGACCCAATTAAACAGTCCCATCTAATAGTGAATTCTCTGGTTAAAAATGTTTTACGTTGTTGTCACTTATAAAATTTGTTTTGCGCAAGGGAAGCGCGTGCTTCGATCTCCCTGAATATTAAATGAGTGCAATTTGTCTTGTAAGATTATTCTGTGAAAAACTGCAGAATTATAAGTAAAATAGGGCAAGAAATGACATAATTTGTTCGAGGTCTGAAAGATAAACAAACAAAGCCTGATAGTTCTGTTCAACGCTAGGTGATGTAAACTGAAAGGCTGGTTTACACACTACCAGATTTGTAAAGTAAACTTGTAGCAAGCCACACAAAAAAGGCCTGATTTTTCATCTTGGCCTTTCCTTTAGACAGAGAGATAAAACCGACAAGTTATCACGAGTATGTTGGCTGCGACCGAGGACTATCGTGTCTTAACGGCCTTGTAGCATAAAATTATATTTCGGGGCTGTCCAATTACCCTTGTAAAAAAAGGGTGGTCTAGGTGGGCAAAAAGGTCATTTTGCTTATGGGAAGAATTTGTTTTCCACGCTCAAATCTACTGTGATCAAAGGCGATAGCTTTGTTGTGGGTGTACATATAAGACTGTTTAACTCAATGTAAGATTTTAGGTGTTGTTTCATTCTTGAACTGTTTGCAAAGTATTTTTTCTCTAAAATCGCGCAACTCACAAATCAGTT